CCAACAAAGTAAATAAGACGTGCAATGAAAGTCCTGTTTTCCATGAAAGTCCTGTTTTCCATGATACACGCTCTTTAGTTTCATACATTTTTGACTGAGAAGAAGCTTTAACAGTTTTTGGACCCTGTAGGGCTGAACGTGACTGTGTGTAAAACATCAGTCCAGCATGTGCTGTCAGTGTGGTCTTGATCAAGAGGTGCTGGCATGCTCTCAGAGACAGCAAATGGCACCCTTCCTATCCCTGGCTGGGACAATGGGCTCTGAGATTGCTTTCTGAAATCCATCCACAGCACCAAATTTAATCACAGCTTTATTTGCTTCCGTCACCGCGGCCAACCTCTTTTAATGAAATTCCAAACAAGCTTGATGTCTGATTGTCATGCACTGCCATAGAAATAGCATGCGGCGCCTGACGTCGGTGCGGTTAACAGCTGGGTAATACCCGGCACACGGAGGACCCTGAACATTAACTGAATTTCCCTCTCACGGCTGCTGGTTTGTAATGAATGTGCATTCAGTGAAAGCCTTAGCGGTAATGGATGTTTATTCAGTTCATGTGAATCATACGGGTCACTGTGAATAAAGGCCAACAAAAAAAGCAGCTTTCTGCTTGCTTTGCATGAGGAACCAACTGAAATTTAAGCTGTTATCCACTAAAAATACTGACATTCATCCTCGTGAGAGAAGTAACAGTGGTTCATTCACAAACCGCACATACTCAAATGTGTGCATGAAATTTGCGTACAACTGCCTCGATGAATAAACCAAGGTTCACCATTAACTTTCAACTTTACTAACATTCATTCAAAATTTTAGGAGAAATATTCCCATGTCAAGATCTGCCGAGTAGATAGAATCCTATCCAAACAAACTGAGTGCTGTAATAAACTCAAAGGGTGCTTCAACTAAGTATTAATTATGGAGTTATTCCAAGTTTTTGTCTCTGAAATATGTCCGTTTGGTTTTCAGTGACAGGCACATTTGCAAATAGATCGACTGTCACATTCACATTTTGGATATGATTTGGATCATTTACTACAAGAAATAATTAGGCATACATTTTTTGTGAGAAGTTCTCCTGTGCATATAGAATATGAATAATTCACGCTACTATCAGTGAATGAGATCCGATCCTTCAATTGGACTGATTTTGAATCAGATCTTTTCAATGAATCAATTGAACCGGTTCATTAAACCAGTCTGAATGATTTTTTTCACTAATCTGTCTCAACTCACTGACTTGATTCCTAATGGTTACCAGCCCACTTAAACGGAGGATTATCAGTGAATAACGATTTACACTGCAGTTTTGTATGGAAGAAAACTTTGAAAATAGCACACGAGTCATCTGGATGAATTGGAAAGCTCAATTCTCCATTCATCTTCCTTTATTATTCCACTGAAGAAAAAAAGTTCTACGTGTTTGGAGCGGGAAAGAATTTTCATTTGTGTGTGTTTGTGTCTGTGTGTGTGTACTAATCCTTTAAGGGACGTTATCAGCGGGTTAAGATGTCCAGTGTGTGAGAGCATAAAGTCAGGAGATAATGTCTTTTAGATGAACCAGACTTTAAGCATTCTTCAACTGAGAATAATAATGAATTCTTCTAGCTTTATCTGAGGCTCTTATCCTCATTCTTCATTTTGAATAAGGACGGCTTTATGATGAAATATAACTCGCTAACTAAAATAAAGATGCACGGATCTAGTTCACAAATTACATCTCAATTTCTGCCCCCAGCGTGCCATACGAGTTCAAAGAAAAATATAAAGATCTGGCTCAAACTCAAGATTCACAAATAAACAACTACATATCCTAAGGATGAGCAAGAACATGGCCTACTTCGTCAGTGTGAAGCACTTCAACCAACAGTTTGGTCCATGAGCTGTTTATATTTGGTGAGCAAATCTGTGGAAAAGCAAAACCGTTACAGGGATGATGCTTTGTCTGTTCATATTTACTCTCTATTTTCCATCTCTGTGGAAATGCTATACAGACTACCGTATATGATCTGGGATGTGGTACAGGTTTCCTTTGTGAACGACTTGTGTAGGCACATTTGCAAATAGATTGACTGTCACATTTACACTTAGATGTTTGTGTATGTACAGTTTGCACACAATCATGTTAAGAAGCATCCATTGGTGATCTCCCATCTCTTGCATTTGTCACTTTTGCCCACTTTTTCAGACTGCCAGTGAAAATATTTTTTACATAACCATATTTTATCCAGAAGGGGTTTTGAAAGTCTGATCAGGAACTTTCTTTTTATTATTTTTTTGGATTCAAACCATAGTTGGAGGTGGTTTGAAATGCGATTCCAATCAGATTTTTACAGATATCTGGACGCTCTGGCTGCTCAAATCGGATTTCAAAGTCTTTTTTGCGTTACTCTTAACCCACTAAACACTGGACGTCGGATAGACGTGCAGATCATGTCTATATTGGGTCCGTCGGTCCATGACCAATTCTGGACATCTATTCGACGTCCAAACTAGGTCCACTATTTGGACGTCCAACCATGACCCAACTTGGACGTCATGTTGACGTTCAACATTTGACAGTAGAGCGTTGGCGCTTGTGTAACAGCCACCTAGTGCAACGCCTAGATAATTGGTTCGATTCCCAGGGAAAGCAGGAATGTAAATGTGTAATGCAATGTAAGTCACTGTGGATAAAAGCATCTGCCAAATGCCTAAATGTAAATACATGGTACAGAAAACATCCTTTAAAAACGTCTTCTACCATTTTGTAACATGGGACTACAGTTATAGAAGTTATAGAAGATACTAAATTTAATGTTGAAAAGACGTCCACGAACGAACACATTTGGTCCCACCGATGTCAATATTAGACGTGCAAAAGACGTCGAATAAAGACGTCGCCTGGCGTTACAAAACAACCCCTTCAGTGGACCGAAATTGGACGTCCAAAAATTACATAGAAAAGACGTCACTCTGACGTCACATTGCGCAGTGGGAACGTGACACACACCGATAACATCAAAACTGGTGACAGAAATGCAAGAAGAATTCACACAGTGTTCAAATGGCATGTCCAAAGATTTCGCCATTTTTCTGTGCGACAGAAGTTCTGCACCGCGATTCGGCAGAGTGAGATGATGCACCTCCATTTTTCCTGCATCTGTTTTGAAAGCCTCGTCACATAATCGGGTACACCTTTGTCATTACCGAAGCAACACATGCAGATAGGTTGGTCGTGTCTGGACACACACATCCAATTTGAACACATCCAATTAAAAGTGTGGAGAGCCTGCCTGAATAGATCTGATTTAAAAACAATTCTGAACATTGCCTAAATCATCATTGTAGCTTGTGTTTATTCAGACCATCAGGTTTTTAAGTGTTACGAGCATGAGAATCAGCCTTGAGATTTTGAGTTATAACTCATAACTAGGTGTACTGATAAAAAACATCCCTTGGTGAATGGAATTGCAATGAGGTAATGAGATGCTTAATTAAACCTTAGTCACAAAAGACTGACCTGGAAAGACACTTTGAACTGAGCCGACAATCACACCAGTCAGACGTCAATACACAATGTTTAATAGCAGAAACAGACTTTAATAGAAAAACTAAACTAGAAAACCTGAATGAATGTATTTGATTGCACTGTCATTCACAATTACAGACCCTCACATTACAAACTTTGATATTTTTTGCAATTAAGAAATAAATTGATAAATTTGATTTAAAACTGTACAGTATATACACAATACATTAAAAAAAGATTATGCAATATGATAACACTGAGCTGTCTATGGTTTGTATTTCACTCGTAGCCTACCTAAAGCATTTGCATGGTGGTGGAAAATACAATAAAGCCATTTATTTGTGTTTATTATGTGTCTAGTTCAAATGACATTTTACTGCTTTGTTTAAATTGGATACTTATCAAGGTAAACCAACTGTTTTCAATCCTGATCCTGTAGGTCCGCAGCACTGCAAATTTTGGATGTCTCTCTATCTGACACTCATATTTCATGTCACTGGTAATGTGCTGAAATCAAGTGTGTTATTTAAGAGACATCCAAATTGTGCAGTGGAGGGATATTACAAGACCATTATTGGGAAACTTTATGTTTATGAAGAAAAAAAATCAACAAGCCTATTCATTTGCATATGGTACAGTGCGATATGTTTCAGATGCTAAAAATGAAAGTGTTGGATTTATGCTTAGAATAACATGGTATTGAAGACTCTGGGTCATTACTCCAAATGAGAGGTCCGCATTAAAGAGATCTATTAATTGCTGCATACCAATAACAGGTGTTTTTGCTGGGTTATGAGAGACCTACTCTCCATAAATCACGAAATATTTTAATCTGAAAAGCCAGTTGTATTGAAGGTAAAGCATGTGGATAATGTGACTAGTTGTTTTTATACTAATATTCAGTTGAATAATCATCAGGGTAAACTCTCTGACACTGATGATGAGAAAGATCATGGAAATACTCTGGCGAATTGAACATGCATATTTAGTTTAATATGTTTCAGAATCTAAAAACAGAGCTTCATGGCGTAGAATGGCGTGTGTCAAAGACTTCCTATTTTGATTTACTTCTGATTTGTTCACCTGCTTTAAAAAGCCAAAGAGATGTCTCAACTGCAGCATATCACTCACAGGCTGGCTTGTGATAGACCTACTTTCAATAAATCATACAATCAGATGTATAGAGAAACACATGCACAGGTAACCGGATTTTCACGCGTTTTAAATGAACTGCGCTAAATCCTTACAAACTTGTTCTAACAAAACAGAAAAATTACAGGATAGAGCATTTCACTTCACTGTTCTCTAACAATATATTTCACTGGGTCACTCAGATACAGAAAAAAAGAAAAAGAAAAAAAACAACAAACAGGTCTAGGAAACAGGCTGAAATAGACTAAAGCAATGCAAGAATCAGTACGCGTTTAGTCATTTTATATATAATACAACAGAATAGGGGCTTAAAAACCATCAGGACCCTCTCACTCACCTTCCACCTCATCCTCAGGCAGGTTGACCGGTGCCCGGTACGACAGGATATCTGGAATGGTGCAGATCCCCCGGTACATCAAAGTGGAAGTCACCGGATGCATAGGCATGTTTGCGCTTTGTGTTGACCAGCACGTGTGTAATGATCCTCATATATGTGATTTACTGTCCAGACTGCAACTTTTTACCCCACATCAGATCGGACCGAAACCTCAGTGGAGATCACGGGTGGAGTGGATTCCATGGAAAGCGCCGATAGTACTCTCACAGCGTGCGCAATTGCGCAGCCCTCTCCAAGAAACCAGTTGTGAGGATTTACAAGTCTTCGGAGGTCAACGGGTGGACTATATGTAGGCTAAGCTTTTGGGGTTCGGACCGTCAAAATATAAGCGAACCGCCCGGTCTCTAGATTGTTGTAAAAATGAACAAAACAACGAATTACGGCGGCTCCATCGGCGGGGAAACTAACAGATCCACATAATCCAGCAGCTCACTCGACGCGCATCAAACAAACGCGCATTTTTATCACTGCGACAAAGTATGTGCGTGTTGGCGAGGTTGCGTGGATCGATTCGAGCTCCAGGTCGCTAGGCAGGCATCTCCATCTGTTTGCACTTCAATCGCTTTTTAAGACACAGCAGTTGAGCTTCGTGCATGCACTTGTTGGATATGCGCACCGCCAGGAACAAGGAGTTAAAAATGCGCTTTACGCGTGTGTAGTTGAGAGGTTCCTCTAAAGAAATCGTGTGTTTTCCCCTTTAGCAAACAAATAGAGTATTTAAAAAATGGGTAAGATGCCATCGAATCAATCAAACTTTCCAGCTAAACACAACATGCAGATAAACACGCCGTGCGTGGCGAGGCGCGGTGAGGTGACCGGGTTCCCTCGCGATGGATCTATATTTAGTCTGAGTGTAAGCTGCTGCTCTCTACAAGGTATTTCCCGCAAGGAGGCATTCACACAGGACGCGTTCTTGCGTTCAACAGCCAGACGGAGCGTTTCAGATTTGACGCGTTTTCAAAAGTTGATCTGTTTTTTTTTTTTACTTGACAGGCTGTCGTAAAGCGCCACGCTCATGGCGCAAAATAGGTACACCCGTCTGACTTGTAGCCTACAACCGTGCTTTACATGAACTTTTAACATCATTTGCTCCCTGTGTTGATTTTAAGGGACATTGTTTTATCTGTTTTTAACCTCATTAATGACACAAAGTGTCATCATTTTATGTCTACATTTCAGTCTGAACAAATACCCAATAAATCAAACATGCTACCAATAAATGAATATAAAATCATTATCCGCTCAGATTTTATGATAACTGTAGCTGTAGGCCTATACACCTTTTAGAATATTTTAAGCAATACATTTGGAACAACATCACAACTACAAATGTTGCTTTTAAAGTCCCCATGAAATCAAAATGTAAGTTTTTTGGCGTTTATTATGAATATGTTAGCCTTGTTATCTTTAAGTTAGTGTGCTCCAAAACAATGACAAAATTCACATTTAGAAGATGTAAGCGTTCAAAACTCACAACCTCTCACTTCCGCCAATATGGATCAATGATTTTGATGACATCACTCTGCACTCCGGCTTCTCATCAGATTTTCTGTCCAATCAAATGCTCTCTAGAATTTAAAACATCCCGCCCACAGTATTATAAATAGATGCTGAAGCTGCAGCTAAAATCAGTGCACTTATGCGTCTCTATAGCCCGCGTTGTGTTTATCGTGCAATTTATACGCGAAAATGAGTTTTTACGTGCATATGATACGCAGTTTTCACGTGCATTTGATACACACGCACCCCACACCACTAATCCTAATCAAACATATACACGCACCCGACACCACTACTAAACCTACCCATGCGTATCATATGCACGTAAAAACTCATTTTCGCGTATAAATTGCACGATAAACACAATGCGTGCTATATAGACGCATTTGGTGTGATCGGGTTGATACATGGTGAAATATAGGGGATAGAGAACGATTCAGAAAGCGTAAATATGCTTTCCATTGGGGCGAAGGAAGTGCGGTTTCACGTATAGTGTCACGTGAACCGCCGCAGTGCGCACACAGTCTGCTCCAGTCCAGAGACATGATAGCACAGAGCGGATCATTTGCGCGAGTCACAGAATGCTCTATTTTAAAGCGAAATGAAGGAGACTAAGAGAAACAGTTAGAGATTAGGAAGAAACTGCGGCTATACTGAGCTCAAGGGCTCTGGCCGAGCTGTGATATAAAAGAAATGCTATTGGCTATTTTAAAAAAGGGGAGGAGCTGTTCGATATGTCTCGCCCTGTCTTCCTGTTTCAGTGAAAAAAACATCAACACATTGAATAATGCTTGAATAATCGCTTGGGTGAATGAATCAGTGACACACCAATAAAAGCTTTGATCCTCAATTAATGTGTTTTTGAATGTATTGACTCAAATCACTCCGTGACTGTCATTTAGTTCCTGAATCATTGTGCTTGCCCTTTATGGATATATGGACATTTCTGTGGCATTTAAACAAAAAATTGACTCTGATATATACAATTAAAACATGCACAGATGGAAACTGAAAAAAAATAGCACTGAACGAACATCCTCGGTGAACTCCCCCTTATGCTGCATTCCATGCGGGACACCACTATTGAGAAGATAAAACTTTCATTTATTCCCATACATTTCAGTGTATTTCTCCACGGACAACTGCGATCGACGTGATTCCCAGAATCCTCTTGAACAAGAACATATGTGACTGGTGTTTTCTCAGGGCAGGGGCAGATCACATTCCTTTTGGCATTTCTCATCTTTAAAATAAAATCTCATTCAGTTTGATAACCAGTGAGTTAAGCTACTGCTCTTCTTAAACTCCAAGCCTTTTTGGATTTGTCCAAACAAGAGAGACTGAAAGCATCCCAAACCCCAATGCGTGACAGCATGCCAACATTTCAGAAAGAGATGCTTATTATTTTGCATTTGCAAGAGCATCCTGGTTGGAAATGCATTGCACTTTGCAATTCAAACATATTAATCAAAAGGTGCTTGGCATGGTGGAAGTCATCCACTACACACTAATCTGTCTCAGTGTGGGTGGGTTAGCTTTCTTCTCAGATTTCTGACATATTCGCAAGCAGGTGTTCGATTCCATGGCAGGGATTTTCTGCATGCATCCTTTGTCAAATGCACTTGGTAAAAAAACATGTGACATATGAGTCTTATTATGGGTTATCTGCAGCTGTGATGGATTTGGGTGATGTAATGACACCATTGTGTCCTCCAGCTGTGGACCGGAGCTCTCGCGACAGGACCCAGGTGCACACATCAAGACTTGATGGCCTATTATGACCAGTGGACTCTGAACCTCCAACACCCAGATTTTGAGGCATTTTCTACACCCTCTGTGTTTCCACATAGTGACAGGTGTCCCGTGTTATGCACACACACATACGCACACATCTCAGGTGGAGCGCATAAACTTTTCACAGTGTCATCCACGTCTAACACTGAGTGACGGAAGGAGAGAGAGGGGCTTCTTTCCGTCTCTCTTCACTGCTGGCGCTCTCCTGGGTGCATCATCTGCTTTGACAGAGAAATACTGTGCGGGAGACATCGTCTATGAGCTTAATGTCAGAAGTCCAATTCTTAGTGGAATCAAGAGTTTGTTCACACTTGTAGTTCGGTTCGCTTGGTTCGTTTGGTCCTGAGCAAAAAAACAAGAACAACAACATTTAGTCCTGGTCCGCTTAGCATTCTCATTGGCATTTTTAACACCAAACCTAAAGATACTGAACCTAAAGGCACTGGGATATGTTCACAACTTGATTGGTTGGCTTTTATAACATATATTTCACGATGGAACTTACCGAACATCCAAAACAATGCTGTGTGCTGGGATAAATGTGCTTGTTGCATATCTACATATGATGGTATTTTTAAAACATGTCATACATTTTACTGTTTTACAATCCTATTTTAGATATAAAGGAAAAGTTCACCCAAAACTGAAAATTCGGTCATTATTTACTTACCCTCATGTCGTTACAAACTCATGACTTTCTTATTGGAACACAAAATTAGATTTAAAAAAAAAAAAATATTCTGGTCATTTTTTGATATAATGTGGTAGTTGCTTTTTAATGCAATTGCAAAAAGTTACCAAAAGCATAATGAAAGCGATTCAGTGAATCATGCATTATATTATAAGTCATACAATAACTTTGTAGATCATACCAAAAGTCATTATTTACTGCTGATCTTCTGCTCCAGCAGCTGGAACACCGAATAAGAGAGTTGAACTTGAGAACCAGATCAGTCCGAATCCATTCCTAATCACTCTGAATCATCCAATTCACCGGGAAAAAAAGAATGATAAATTCAGACATACTTCTCTCTTTTATGAAACTTGTATGATGCTTTCATAAATGCATGGAAAAGAGGGTCTTGTAACATGGAGGAAATATATTCACACTTGAAATGGTGTGCAAATTTAAAAAATATATTTATAATGTATAAATTATAATTTTTAAACCAAAAAAAATCAATGAGAGGCTTATTGTCACTATGCAAATTAATAATGATGATAATAACAATAATAAAAATAGTAATTTTACCAAAATAATAATTTTACAATTGTTGTAAGGCTGTAAAACAAATATTACTAGAATGTATAAATACTTTCAAATCTTCAAAATACTTTTATTTATAATTAACAAATTATAATTTTTCATTTAATAAATAATAATTTTCATTAAAATAAGGTCAAAATGCATATAAAAATATCTTAATGGTAAAAAAGACTTGTATTCATTGAGCAAAAGTAATAATAATACTATTTTTCCTTTAATCTATTCCCTTCAATTGGTATAAGGCTATAAAACAAATATCACTATAATGTATAAATACTTTAATATTTTTATAATATTTTTATTTATGATTTACAAATTCAAATTTTTCATTTAACCCTCAGACGGTCTTCGGTCATTTATGACCGGAAAATTTTCTGTTTTGAATTTCTAAAAATCACAGCTTCATCGGAATGTTATGAAACTTGGTGACTTTTATGGCATTAGGTATGTGAATACAAAAAAAAAATGAGGTCATGATCCGAGCATGCTAAGTGGTCGTAAAAAAAATAGTCACACTTGTGGTCTTCGGTCAAAAATGACCGACCCATAGGAAATGAATGGGAAATTTACAAAAACACAAAAATTCTCTGAATTTTTGTCTGTACAATCTACAAATCGGCCACGATTCTAAAAAAAAGTACACCGCAGTAAAGGGGTGATACTCTATAACATCAAGAGTGCAAAAAATTCACACCCACCCACACACACATACAAACACACTTTTATACACATACACACAAATAAATTCAGATTACAAAAAATCTGTTTGAATTTTTAAAAATCACAGCTTCATCGGAATGTTACGAAACTTGGTGACTTTTCTGGCATTAGATATGTGAACACACAAAAAATTGAGTTCATGATCCGAGCATGCTAAGTGGTCGTAAAAAAAATAGTGACGATTTTGGTCTTCGGTCAAAAATGACCCCCATAGGAAATGAATGGGAAATTGACAAAAACACAAAAATTATCTACAAATCGGCCACGATGAAGATAAAAGTGCTCAGCAATGAAGGGGTGAAACTCTAAAACATCAAGAGTGAAAAACATAACATAATTAATAATCATAATTAATATATATATATATATATATATATATATATATATATATATATATATATATATATATATATATATATAATTAATATAATAATA